ATATATATATATATATATATATACAGTTAATTACGGCTATTAACGCATTGCTCTTCAACTGAATTGAGCTCTCCGGGTCACTGTCGTATTTCGTATACAAAACGTTAAAATTTCCCTTTTTCTCTACCGTGCGACAATAGGGATCTCTGACTGATGCCAAATCAGTAGTGTTTCGATCCAGCTTGAATCAATCGGACGTCTAGTCACACTGAAGTGCTGTGATACAGCGAAACATCCTGTCTGTGCATATAAGGAGGATTTGAAATAATTATGTAATTCATCGAGTCTAGAAGTAACCTCAACAGAATGCAGAAAGAACTGGACGGCCGTTTCGTCCTATATTTGGGACTCATCAGCAGTGCGCATCCACTAATTTCTTCTTAATTTCTATCATTTGTATATCCTTGCTTGAAACGACTTCTAATGCTCTGGATGGAGCGGCTTCGGGATAGTAGTCGTGGTTCTAGGGGGCACAATCCTATGGGTAAAAAAACTTGGATGAGTTCCACCAAGGAATTTGTGAATGAGTGGCACAATATTGAGTCTAGTTCGCTACTTTTCGTAGCGAGGTCTGTTAGTACAGTTGGTATGACGCTTGCCTGTCAATGGAACTGTCCGGGTTTCAATTCTCGGTAGTAGATGCACACTGCTGATGAGTCCGAAATGTATATATTTATTTTTTTAATACATACACACATACACACATACATATATATATATATATATATATATATATATATATATATATATATATATATATATATATATATATATATATATATATATATATATATATATATATATATATATATATAAGGTGATCATCCAATTACGCTTCCTTTGTTTAAAACTTTCAGTATCCTCAAGAGATATGGACCTAATGATTATAAAATCTTATTATAAAACGTAGATTGTGTGTGTATGTCTGTTCGTTTACATATGGGATCGTATTTCCTACATTTTCCAACCGATTTCAACAAAACTTCACAGGACTACGCAAAATTACCCGGCGGTGGTTCTGACAGCGCCCAAAATTGGAAAAACACAATTGTTTTTGCATGGAATTAATTTGAAAGCACAGGTAAGGGCCATTTATTTTGTTACCGAGCCACCAAAACAAAGCAAATGGTCCAGTTTCTGATAGCACTAACGCTTGGCTATCTAACAAGTACCAAAAGTATTTGCAAGACTGTCAAATCCGCATGACCAGGAACCATAAACGGAGGTACCAAGGGACAGGATTTTGCCCTCTGAACACACATTCACTGGCACAGTTTTTTTGGAAGCCACTAGGACGCAAAGGGGACATCGCGGAGGAAATCACGGAACGCGTCCCAGTCAGCTCGTTGATAGTAGAACGAAGTTCTAATGGTAGGAGGTTCTTTATAGTGGGTGGAGTTGAAGATGATGTTAACTGATACTACTGCATGATCAGAGTTACCATGAGTGCAGTGTTGCGAGGCGCTGCAGGATTCGGGGATAGAAGTAAAGCACAGGTCGAGAAGAGAGGCTTTACCTTCCCGGTTGAAGGCAAAACGAGTGGGGAAGTTAACTATTTGTGTGATGGAATGGGATATTGAAAAATTGAGCGTTTGAATGCCTGCGTGGTCAGTAGTAGCATTCTTAAGCCACAAGGTGTGATGGGCGTTAAAGTCATCAAACACAAAAATGTGAGCAAACGGGTGGAGGGAGAGAGCCTTGTCTATGTTGTCAGAAATGCTATCAAGTATCTCACAGTCTTGAGAGGATGGAGAGCGGTAAAGGAAGAAGAGATAGCTTACCGCATTGAGGAGAGAGAGTCGGAGACACATGTATGACTGGTCAGGCGATTCGAGAGAGGACTCTCTGGCCAGAGGGAGATGTTCCTTGACGTAGACACCAAGACCGTGCATGTGGGTTAGAGAGTCTTTTCTGAGGAGAGGAAGATAGCCGGGGATCGAGAGATCAGAAGAGGGATAGACGAGACAATGTTGGTCTCACAGAGAGCCAGTATATCCGGGCAGTGTGCAGTGAGGAAAGATTCCAGACTGCAGAAGTTTGTCCTATTGCCCTGGATGTTGGAGAACGAAATATTGAGGGGTTTAGGTGGTTTTTGAGAGGCTGGTTTAGGGTTAATCTTTCGGTTTTTATAACTCATATTGAATTTTGTTTGTAAGATGAGAAGGCCCGAAGTAAAAGAAACAGACAGTTTCGAACGTGACGCGGGCAGAGAGTTGGCAAAATCTGCATCATTATGTGGCCTCAGGGCTGCCCACCGGAGATGACTGCAGGGACACCTTTCCATGCGCGACATGGCACTAAAACACCCTGATATTATACAACTGTTGATCAGAGCGGCTGCTCAAGACGCTACGCAAGAGTTAGGGCTCCTAACTACCAGTCGGAAACAGCAACCAGAGAACTGTCCACCGTGTACCCTCAGAATGAAGAGATGTTGCCCCAGACTGCACGCATCACGGGAGAAACAGAGCTGCACTAATACAGAGGCCGGAGAGAGAAAGAGTACCGGGAACCCCTTCCTAGACAAGAAACAAGGCGTAGGTCTCTACTCATGTCCAATAGAAGGGGGAGGAGTGTTGACCGGGCGGTAGAAGAGACTACCTACTCCTATTACAGATAACACAAAAAAGGACGACAAAAACAGAGGGAAGGATTGGGTGGGGGGGAGATAACAGGTAAGGACTCCTGGTTCACACTTGGCTATACCATATCACATTAAGTTTTAACTTAGTATAAGTCCCATTGTCTATTCTAAAAAAGAAATTGAAAATAAGGTTACCCGGATTTATTATCGCATATAGACAAAGACATTTAATTTTCCATTTTCCTCTTTTTTTCTTTCGAACCGATTTCTTACTAAACTATCAAATAAGGGGAATCATTGGGACAAAATGTCTTTGAGTGTGTGGGGGAATAGATAAATTTAAAAACAAAAAAAAAACAAAGAAATAATGTAAATGGCTTTCTGCTAGAGAGAAACTATACTCACACGGGCCAGCAATTGGTTGTCTGCTTTCCTCCTCATGATGATGATTGAATGTACGGCTTACCTTATGTCCAAGCGTCGACCTGGTGGAGGAGAGATTGATTCAAATGAAATTTACGACACGCTTGCGGCTTACTATCGTTTTTATGTGTCAAATTTCAGAATTTTTCGGCAAAAATAACCGTAGCTGCACGCGGATCAATCTCTTCCTTACACACTTCTGCGTACAACCGAGTCCGCGTGTCGATACCGAGATTGCTGCAAGCCCATTGGTCGCTTTCACAGAGCTTGACTTGTGGCCTGTCCAATCATCGCGCAGGATTTCTCACACGTTATAGCGCCCGCGTGATCTCGTGTCAACTTATGTTTAAGTGCGCTCAAGGTCAACCACCTCTATTGCGTGACTCGGGCGTGCTTTCACCCTTTTGCGTTTATTGTTGCCCGCGTGCACGCGCTTGGCTTAATTTATTCGCCTACTTCGAATACCGCAAGTTGTTGATTACGTGTTCTAGCTGCTTTTTTTGTTTTATAGTTCCAACCCAACCCCACACACGTTAGCCAAAACTAAAAACCCATTTCCTTTTGGATTTACCCTTGGTTTAGCTTTTTAAATTTCCACTTTTTTAGTTTCGAGTTCCCCTTTAGTAACATCTGAACTCATTTTACTGAGTGTTCCCCTTTTTGTGTCTACGTTAGCAGTGCACGTTTTTTCGTTTGGGATTTATCGAAATCTCTTTTTAAGCTTTACCCTCTTTAACGTTTTTACTGTTTGGATGCCACCTAAAAGGAGGAAATGTTTGGGATGGCTCGACAGCGGCCTCCGCTGCTAAAGCAGCGAGGGAGAGTGAAAACCCTGAACAGACTTTCACGGATGACCTCGAGCTCAGCTGCTCGCTTATCTACAGAAAGCGCCACTGCGCGGACTGAAAGGTTGGCTTCAACGGCTTCAATCATGTCCGCACGCCGCGCCAGGCTTTCAGTTGAAGAACGTTCACTTCAGAATTCACAGGACGCAGTCCGCGTGGCTAGGTTGAGGGCTTCAAAGTCCCCAGTACAGAAAACCCTTCGTAGTTTGCGGGATGCCACCGCCAAAGCTTGCTTCAGGTGTTTAGAAAGCCCCGAACAAACAACTTCACGTCGTCTTAGGAACACTAGGGCTACAGCCGCCTCTAGAGCTTCGGAACAACCCCAAGAAACCGCTCTTTAGAAATACCCTATCCACCGCGTCTGCCAGAGCCTTAGAAAGCCCTGCACAGACCACTGTTCGTCGCGTTAGAAATGCCCGCTCTACTGCGTCTGCCAAGGCTGCAGAAAACTCTGAAGTACGCCGTCAACGGCTCGAAAACATTAGCCAACTTCGAGCTTCTTTGAATGGCGTAACTTTGCCGTCTGCGTCATTTTGGTCAAATGTCGCATACAATTATGACTGCACTGTCAACTATTCCGCTAGGAGAAACGTACAAATAGGGGCCATGGATAAAGTTTTCACTTTTTGCAACGCAAAAAAGTGGGCCGGTGAGCAACCTGGGCTTTGTTGCTCTGGGGGCAAAATCAAACTCCCTTCTTTAGACGAACCTCCCCAGCCGCTTAGGGACCTTTTTCTGGATACAACTTCGGAGTCAACGCATTTTCTTGAAGCAATACGGAAGTACAACTGTTGCTTCCAGATGACGTCTTTTGGTGCGAAGGCTATTATTGAGGGGGTGGGATGGATGCCTACTTTCAAAATGCAAGGCCACGTTTACCACTTAATGGGATCACTTTTGGCTGATCAGAGAGAGCCACCTCAGTTCCTACAAATTTACTTTCTCGCTGACTACAACGAGCAGGTTGATGCGCGTCTCGGCATTCTGCCTAGCGATATTTCCATCGGTCCCAGTAGAGACATTCTGTTCCGTCTACAAGACATGCTTCACGAAACGAACAGTTACATCCGAAGCTTAAAGTTTGCGTTGCAAAACAAATCTTCGCCCTCTTTCAGCGTTGTCATCGATTTCAGACAGACGGCCTCACGGTGAGCATGAGCGTCGCTTCAATGCTCCTGCATGTAATGAAGTCGCCGCAGTCATCCACGGTGAGGAGCATAACAGCCGTGACATTGTTATAAGGTGGTCTGCGCCGCATCAGTGAAACCCACCGTTCATACGACTGTCTCCAGTACCCACTTCTTTTTCCATATGGAAGCGATGGGTACCACTTCAAAATCTCAATATACCAGGCAAGTAGCGAATCTATGTCGACCTCAAAGACGGTCTCCTGTAGGGCTTACTACGCCTACATGTTTATGGTTAGGGAGGGTGAATTTAACCACTTTCACAGGTGCCGTCAACTATTTCTTCAATTCGCTTTTGAAATGACTACAAAAATGGAGTCGGAGAGGTTAGGATTCATCAAGTTAAACTAATCCAAACTGAGAACTGACTCCTACTTAGACTAAAAAAAAACATCCATGGAATGAAAGATCGGAAATAACGCGATACATGCACATTAAAATTACTTGTCTATATTTCTGAGATGAGGTATTAAGTACACTATTTACATTATTTGGACTATTGTCCTCATCTTTGTTGCCATATTTATTACAACGTTTTGGCCGTTCAGTATCTTTCTATATTACTGAGATGAGGTATTGTGTACACTATTTACATTATTCGGATTATTGTACTCATCTTTGTTGCCATATTTATTACAATGTTTCGGCCCTTTAGTATCTGTCTATAGTTCAGAGATGAGGTATTATGTACACTATTCACATTATTCGGACTATTGTCCTCATCTTTATCGCCATATTTATTACAAAGTTTCGGCCTTTCAGTATCTGTCTATATTTCTGAGATGAGGTATTATGTACACTATTTACATTATTTGGACTATTGTCCTCATCTTTGTTGCCATATTTATTACAACGTTTTGGCCGTTCAGTATCTTTCTATATTACTGAGATGAGGTATTGTGTACACTATTTACATTATTCGGATTATTGTACTCATCTTTGTTGCCATATTTATTACAATGTTTCGGCCCTTTAGTATCTGTCTATAGTTCAGAGATGAGGTATTATGTACACTATTTACATTATTCGGACTATTGTCCTCATCTTTATCGCCATATTTATTACAAAGTTTCGGCCTTTCAGTATCTGTCTATATTTCTGAGATGAGGTATTATGTACACTATTTACATTATTCGGACTATTGTCCTCATCTTGTCGCCATATATATTACAACGTTTCGGTCTTTCAGTATCTGTCTATATTTCTGAGATGAGGTATTATGTACACTATTTACATTATTCGGACTATTGTCCTCATCTTTGTCGCCATATTTATTACAAAGTTTCGGCCTTTTAGTATTTGTCCAAGCAAAATCCAAGTGAATTCTCGACCAAGGTCGGTCCGGTTTTGCCCACGAACTGAATTGAGTCGGAGGAGCTTTCATAGCTAATGCGCATCCTCTACACTCCCTGACTTTTTCTTCTATATCCTTATCCATGTTTGGCCAGAAAACGAAAGAGCGCATAAGGCTTTTCATTCTTGATATGCCTGGATGTCCTACATGGAATTCCTTGAGCATTCTTTTCTGTAATGTTGTAGGAATTACGACCCTGTCACTATATAACAGGATGTTATCACAAATTGAATAAATTTCCTCATCCAGTTGGTTACTGTTGATTTTTTTTTTCGTGCTTATAATAAATTCGTCCACCTCTGCCTTACTCTTAATCTCATCAAGCGTTACTGGAAGTTCTCTTATCGTGTCACATAAAAGTATTTTTTACTTCAACTTCCGCTTGAATGGCTGCTATTACCATATCCTCCAATGGTTCTGTGTGCTTAGGTATTAACCTTGATAAGCCATCTGCATGACCAAGTTTTTAGATGGTACATACTCCATTTGAAAATTATAATTCAGAAGAATGGTACCCCATCTCTAGAGTCTATTCGCCGTATGTTGTGGTAGTCCTTTTTCGATCCAAAATCGTTAGTAAAAAGGTTTGTGATCTGTTTGTAACAGAAATTGTCTACCGTGCAAAAACGATGAAATTTCTTTACTGCGAATATAATGCTTAGCGCCTCTTTCTCAATTTGCGAGTAGTTCTTTTCGACTGGTAAAAGTGAATGGGATGCATGGGCTATGGGTTTTATTTTTCCATCATCCATTTTGTGTAGTATGTATTGCTCCTATACCATAGGCACTGGCATCGCTTACCTTCTATAATATCACGCTTGGGATTATAATGTGCCAGAAACAAGTCAGACGTTAATATATCTTTAATTTCCTGAAATGCTTCTTCGCACTCTTGCGTCCAGACCCATTTTTGGTCCTTCCTTAACAATTCATTTAAGGGTGATCTTAGTTTATGCATATTTGGCACGAATACATTGTAATAATTCGCCAACCCTAAGAAACTTTGTAGAGACGCAATATTTTCTGGAGCAGGCATGTCCCTTATTGCACTCGATCTATCTGGATCCGGCCTTCTTCCATGTTCATCGATAATTTGCCCCAAGTATTTTATTTTTTTCCATGAAAAGGTACATTTTTTCCTGTTTCAGTTTAAATCCATAATCCTGGATCCTTTTGAATACTTGGTTTACATGAGCTTTGTGTTGTTCTTTGCTAGCGCTGTTCATTAACACATCGTCCAGGTACCCTACTGCGAAGTCCAGCCCACTTAACATCATGTCCATTGTTTGCTGAAAAATTGCAGGGGCGACTTTGACCCCCAAAAGGAAGTCTGTTAAACTTGTATAATCCTTATGGGTATTGATGCATAGCAACTTTGAACACTCCCTGATCGACTGGGATTTGTAAATACGCGTCACTGAGGTCGATTTTTTTTTTTTAAAAATATTTCCTCCACTCAGTTTCGCGAATATTTCTTCAGGGCTCGGAAGGGGATAATGGTGATCCTTTAATGCATTGTTTAAACCTGTTGAGAAATCGGCACAAACCCTAATCTCCTTGCTCTTCTTTTTAATGTAAACTGTTGGCGTAGCCCACTCACTGATCAATTTTTTCGAGGACACCCATGTTTTCGAGTGTTTCTAATTCACCGTCTATTTGTTCTATAGCGGCGTATGGAACCTTTCTCTTCTTTTTGAACACTGGCTGTTCATTTTCTTTGATTTCAAATTTTGCTACCGCTTTTGTACACCTTCCAAGACAGCCTGTAAATACGTCTGGAAAATTCTCTTTTAACTCCCTCTTAAGTTTTTCTGCCTCCACATTCGAATCCTCAACTTTTGACAAAAAAGAGCTTAAAGGCAGATCCCATAGTCTAATTTTTTTTCGAACAGATCCGTTCCAAAGAGGTTATTTGATTTTCGCATGACAAAAATTTTCCTTTTTTCGGTCTTATTCTGAAAAAGAAATATTCGTCAATAATTCTCCTTCGAAGGTGATTTTTTCACCACTGACGCTTCTCGCCGTTTTATGTGATTTAATCATAGTGGGTCTCCCAAGCTTCTTCCATGTCTGTATATTAATGATGGAAATATCAGACCCACTATCAAAGAGTGTAGTCTTACTTTCTTTTTAAAACATTTTGACCTGTACAAATTTCCGGATATTTCGTTCCTCAGGTTCAATTTTCGTTAGTTTAATGGATGTCTTCTTTCTACCAGATTTTTTTCTACAAATGTGATGCCTTATGCCCCTTCTGGTAGCAGTTGTCACATTGTTTGAATTTGTAGGGACACTCATTGTACCAATGTTTATCTCCACACCTCCAACACGGTCCCGGTGGATCTTTTCCCTGTTTTTTTTCCTCTGGTTATTTTTTGAAGTTAATTTTTTTCTTCTGATGGACCTTTTTAATGTACGACACCCCTTTCCTCTATGTCACGACTGTCCTGTTTCGACGCAACAAACCGTTCACAGTCTTCCGCTAGGCTTTGTAGTTTTAAATTCGGCTCATTTTCGAGTTTATTTAAAACACGACGCCTGATCTCAGCGTCTTTACCTAAAAGCCAGCCCTTGCACAAATATTAAACATTTAAAATTATCTGATGATAATTCCTCCAGTTTAAAGTCGTCGCAATGCTTGTTTACAATACTTGCATAAGTAGTGTAATCATCTTCCTCTCTTCTAGTGACATTCATACACTTATATCTCCTGTGAAAAAGTGAAGTTTTTGTAGAAAACAGTTCTGTTAGTAGAGTAACTGTCTCTTGAAAGTTCAACACACTGGTCTTTTTTGGAAGGATAAAATTCACGAACTTTGTATGCTTAGCAGAAACCTAACTTTTTTAGCGCCTGCCATGTACCGCAATCCGATACAAAAATATCCTCATATCTTCTATAGAAATGAGCAAACGTGACATCGTCTTCTGGATTATAATTGAAACTTTCAATAGCGTTCCACACAGCCGTCTGGGAGAATGCGTTATGATTCTCGCTTGCATTCGTTAACTGTGTTGCCTCCAGAAGTTTCCTCTGTTCCTCCTGTGTTTTCATAAAGATTTGTTCGACGCGTTTCTGTTGTTCCAACAACTCGTTTTTAAATTTCTCCTCACTTTCAAGTTGTCGTTAGTTGTTGCTTTTACAACGCGAGACTTTGTTCCGTTTGAAAATTGAACAATTGAAGAAGAGACTCTCTTAATTCTGCGTCCATGGTACGAATTCAATTTACGCACCATACAGTTTACACTTGTATTAAACAAATCAGTTTTCCCAAGGCTTGCTTACTAAAATTATTTTGCTCAACTAATACACAAACAAGAAATATGTATTTCTCGTAAAACAAAAAAAAATCTGTCGCTTTAAGGAGTGTCGACTAATGGGAATATCACAAAAATTTTTCCCAACCTCTTTGTGGTTTTGCACAAATATGACTCGAATTTTTAACAGTCTTTGTTAAGCACAAATGACTTACGCGAATATATATTTTTCACTCGACAAATCATTTAACTTTGAAGAGAAGAAAAAAAAAATCTTACCGTGACAAAAAAAAAACTCTGGTTTCTTGGAAAGAAACAAAAAAAAACAGTGAACCTCTTTTTTCGAAACCCT